TGTGTAAAAATATTTTCCTCAGCTCAGTTTAGAGCCATTAACTGAATCACAGTTTGAATGTATCATTTATTTACACTCCTGTTATTATGATAATGTCTTCATACTAACCTTTATCATTATGGTTTTCTTTAGTGCCATCGTTAGTGCTAGTTTCAATGTTGTCGGTAGCCATCTTGTGTGAATCTCCTTCAGTCACGCGGTCGTCTCTAACGAATCTGTCATTGGCGTGTGCCGGTGCCGCGTTCTGGCCGCGCCCAGAGCTGTGTTGCAGGAAATATGTGCCGGATATGTCGCAGTTAATTGCATCTTTTATTGGGAACGAGACACATCCTAAAAACTCGCTCCGCCTGTAACAATTGAGATTTAATTAATAATCCTCTTAAGAAAAAGAACAAACTCTTTTCTTGCATCATTACTCAGTAATTACAACAAGTTCTTGGTCGAAATATTCCCATTTTACAAAATTTCCACAAGTAAATAGCGTAGAAACTAAATGTACCATCAACGCACCATTTTGTTCGTTAAAGGTCAATAGAACGTCTCCGAGATGGGAATAATATGTAAATGTACGCAATGGGGTGAAGTCGTTTTGTTTGATAATGGCAAGCTGGCGTCCGCTACGTACGGACAAAACGATTCACAGTTGGAATTTATTCCTCAAGAACACAGAAGTAAGTCATGATATTTTTTTTTCCAAATTGATTAAAATAGTATTACAAATATAGGTTTTTTATATAATAATAAAAATTACAAAAACACAACATCAGTTAGGATAATGAAAATAAAGACCAAAGAGAGACGAAAGGACATATATATTACAAACAGGGTTAATACAATAAAGTATTCCAAGCGTATAGGGTTTATAAAGACAAAAACATTAACTGGGTTGACGTTAGCTGTTTTTATTTGATACAATATTAAAAGCTAGAGTGTAATACACATGAGTCATTGGTTAGCCGCCCTTAATGCAGTGAGGGCTCGCCTGACATGGCCTACATATACACGTTACGTAAGAAGTCATCAATACGCTTTGGTCACTATGAATAGTTACAGTTTTGGGAGAGGCTTTGGTTGTTTTTCAGCCCTGTCATTGAAATTCCTGTTATATTTAGATGTGACTTCTTGTCTGTTTAGTTTATATAATATCGTCGCTTTTCTACAAATTATTTTCGGGAACGACAATCGTCATTTTATCATGCCATGTTTCCTCATAGTTATAATTCTCTTCATGTACTTGTATTTCCTTATCGCTTTCTTTATTTACTCTTTCATTTACAATAAAAGCTATTTCATTGAGCTTCCATATTGTTTTAGTATCTTTATCGTATCAATTCTTTATTGTATCTATTCTTCAATACACTAGATTCATAATTATTACCTTTCCTTATTCATAGTTACAATTAACGCCATGTTTAAACCGATCTTGGTCAATTGGTATTTATTTCTAGTGTAATCAACCCTAGCACGACTACATAGTTTTTTATTGTGTGTGCTTGTAAACAGCTGTGCATTAGCATGCACTATACTGAAATAACTTTGCGTGTGCTATTTGCATGCACGCCAGGAGAAAGTTCACTCGACCTTGCAGGTTCATCTGATAAATTGTTTCTACATAGTCTGGCGGTGGCGTGAGGGTTTCATCAGGTCAGAAAGTGAGTTTGGAATGTTCGTTGTAAGGGAATGTTTATTGTATATTTTTAATGTCAGAACTTATGCTAGTGGATGACACGTTGTTAAATTTGATAGTGATTAAATATAATAGTGTCTTTGACCGCACTTTCGATTTTATATTTTCTGACTACCAAATAGAAACAGAAAATATGTTGTTAGTTCCACTCCCTTTAATATAGAACCTGAATAACAGACGACAACTTGTAAAATTATACACACATTTTGATTGAACTCCCTATGTCATTACACACTTAAAACTTATTAAATAATATTGCAAAACTGCCCGTGTAGTCCGTAATTTCCATCATTAGGGATCGATTACGAAATTGCTTCACTAGCCTCATAAGCTAGTTTATAGTTTATTAGTAGTTTTGTTCCTAACAAATTACAGGCCGAGTTTGCTTCCATATATGAGAAAATGTTATACTTTATAGTAATCAGTGGTTAGATCATGTCATTATGTCCAATATGGTATTCTTGCTGTTACGTGATGGTATGAAATAGAGCAATGAGCTGAGAAAGTTATCTAAAGGTATAAGTAAAAGTAAATTGCTTAACAATCTGTGCACATTGCTGATTATATTATATTTGTATTTTGTTCAATAAACATACCAAATTGTTTAGCAACTGATGGTGTTAATAACAATGACCAAAGTCTGGCGACTAACCAAGAGACTAGGAAGATGCTTACAAGGACTAAAATTATGTTTTCAATAGTCCTTAACCGCAATATCTAAGCCAATAATCGTCACAATAAAGAAATAAAATCGTTTGTAACCATAAGATTGAAAGAAAACAACATAAAAGTAAAAAGTAACAAACAAGAAAAAGTTTTTGATTGATTAATCGAAATACAAACAAAAATATTTAACTCAGTTGTTACGAAGGCAGAAGTAACTTTTGCCTAAAGAATTGATAACATTAATAAACACCATGTTTATAGAAAATAAAAAAAATGCGAGAAGAGGAAAAGGAGCAGACGGATCATCTAATGGTAAGCAATTGATGCCGCCCACAGATAGACACCCACAACACTAGGGTAATTACAAGTGTGTTGCCGGTCTTTAAAAGATCTCCGGTAACCTCACTCGTTATTTCACGCTTGTCTTCCGTGAGGTCATGGTATCACTCTGGTCGAGCCGGCTCTTTCGTGCGGAAGCATGGCTCTCCCACACTTAGAATAGAAGACTTAATCACTTCGAAATGTATAACTATATTAAAAATGTACGAAATACAAATTGATAATTGAAACAGTCCAGAATCTAGATGTTAAATCTAAATGTATGAAATTGAGTATAAAATCGATAACACCTCAATTACTTCGGCCATTAATTGAAACAAATTGCGACCTGAGATTTGGACGCCATCGGGTAGCCGATGGACTAACTGGAAATATAAATTGATTACGAATATTAATTGGAAAGCGATGAGCGGATGAAATTCTGCAACGTATTTTCGGTAGAATAATTTCATTATTTTAACTGTATTTGTTTTACTGTCTTTGCATTTGTGGAATGATGTATCTATCGAGTTTGGGAATATAAATAGTGGTTGTTGTCTTTTCTCTTCTTTTAGAACTTTCTTTGTCATCTGTTTTAAGTTCATTTGCAATTTCAGATTGTAATAAAAAAAGTATTACCAACGATATTTTTTGCACTATCTGTAATGAAATGGTTAATATTAGAGGTAGAGGATTTATAGTTTAACCATGACTAAGCAAAAAGTTATTCATAACTTTGGGTTGTAAAAAAATTAACGGAGTTGTTTAGGTCATTCACTGCAAACACAGTATATTTAAAGAAACAAAATGTGTGTTCCTTGATTTTATTTTTCCCATTCCTCGTAGGTTCTACTTTATCTACTAATCAACGTGACAGTATCGATTTACATACAAATGCTGGTTACGTCTAGACATGTTATCGCTGAATTTTTTATACACCAGAGGAAAATGTCCACTTACACATATTGTACTGTTATTCAAGGCTCACGCGATAACTCTTATAGAAAGGGTATAAAGTTCATATTTGTTTAATACATATTCAACATTTTTATTATCTTCCCTCGCTTTCTTCTCATCCACATTCATTTCTTCTTAACATTCTTGGTCACTTCTTATATAATCTTCAGTTACAACATTTAGGCACAACATATATCTATGGGGTTCGTGCAGGGTCTTCCCCTAATCACATAAGCCTCTAAGCATGCAAGGGGCTGTTCCAAAGCCTTTCCTCCCATCCTGTGCATTACATTGGAGTGCATCCATGCGTACTAGGGTGACGGAGACACCAATCGCAAAACTTACGGAGACTGTTGTCACTCTTCTGATATTGTGCTGATGCTCGATTCCGTCATTCTGTCCAAGATATCTGCTGGGAGGCTGTTCTTTCTGGTTCTCTGTTCTGGTGGGTCCCATTCTGGGAGACTGTTCTTTCGGCTGAGCTGGGTGTGGCGGTGCGCGTGCTGATGCGAGCAGTGTTGCCGCGGCGGCGGGTCCTCGCGAGACCGCGTCTGACTCAGCCCCGCGACCGTTTGCGATACGAACGACATCTTTTTTGATTATTTACTGTAAAATATTAGGCTTTATAGTTTGGGGAGGAATAAAGCAAGACCTTTTTGGGTTTTGAAAGCGTGGTTTAAAACAAAAGGTTTTTTGAAGCGGAGGCCGTCTCAAGTTGCAGAAATTAGGGGTATATTTTTTACACAACAAAAGAAGATCAGAGATCTAATAACAGTGATTTTCGTACAATCAACGAAAAAATCACCAGTCAAACAGATCATTATACTTTTATAATTATACAGTTAAAGTATTCGCTCCATAGCTTTTATACCTGCCGTCCTAGTTACTACTAATGAGAACGAATATATCCAATTAGTGCCAATTAACATAAGACTAGATAATCTAGGCCAAATTGATCCAATTATACCTCATTATCCTACAAATGTTACTATGACGATACAGCCTTCAATAATATCCAACTACAACTATACACCTGAAAACGTGCTCGAAATTGAAAGTTTCAGTAAAGGAGAAAGTATAATGAAGTCACGCGATGTAGGTAGGATTAAAAATACGGTATTTTCAGTAATACATCAAGTTTGTAGTAGTTTTTAAGGATTTAAATAAGTTTGTACGCAGCAATGAATTTTCTTTACGCCTTGATTTATGTCTTATAATACATTTTCTAGAACAAAACCTTCTTATAATAGCATTAAGTACTTATACTTTTCTTTCACTCTCATTCCATCCCCCTCTCTTTTCTCAACATTCTGCAGCACATTTTTTACTCTCTCTTCTTCTAGACCTTCCACAATTTATTTTCGCAATATCTAAGATTCAGTTTTTGTAGGACAGTTTCCACTGACATAAAAGGCTACTGCTACCTCGGACAGAAATAAACGGAGTCCTATTTCCCATTTTATGTGGTCTGAAACTGCCCTTTGTCTCCGTCAAAGGTTGTAAAGGAAAAATGTACAAATCGTCTCACATCACGCGAGCACCGAACACCCTACCCTAATGAATTGGCAATTTATACAAATTACTCTATTGTTTCAATTTATTGACTGACTAGGTTACTGTTGCTATGAGGTTCGATTTTCGGGTTGGTGTAAATGTTTTTTGGTGGTTTTGTGATTTTTTTGCAATTATGGTTTAATTTGGTAGATATTATTCATTGGC